GATAGTTCTAGAAACGTTGCGTCACAGTGTCATGTGACTCGCTGACGCAACAATACTTTCACTATAAAAGCTGTCACCCCTCTCACACTAAATGAAACATTGCCTACAGTCAAGCTCTTAGAATAAAGAAAATATGCTTAGATAAAACAGACTACAGAAAACACACCGAGGACCTAAAACAAAACATGTTAAAAATATACCTAAATCGACAGACAGATCGAAAAGGCTAACAACACATCCTAAATCAGAGCAATACTAAACTTTCAAATATAATTCATCCTATCAGTTTAAACTCAGAAACTTTTCACGAATTCTGAAAAAAAAAAAAACATTTTCATCTCCTACAACTTAACGATCGCCTTAAACAGATATTTCCTGACGTTCCCATTGTCCCCTTCCGAAAAAGCAGAACTCTAAAATATATCTTTGTTCACACAAAAATGAATTACATCCCACCCAAAAATGGTTGTCATCCATGTAATAAAACCTGCTGTCAAACCTGCAAATTCATAACAACCACTGACAAGCACAATCAAAGAAACTTTAAAATATCCAAAGAAATGACTTACACTTGTTTTTGATTGTCTATGTGTTCTATCTTAGTGTGGTGTTTTTAAATGTCTGTGTATTCTGTCTCAGTGTGGGGTTTTTAATTATCTATGTATTATATCTTAGTATGGTGTTTTTAATTGTCTATGTATTTTATCTTAGTGTGGTGTTTTAATTGTTTATGCGTTCTATCTTGTTGTGGTGTTTTTAATTGTCTATGTATTCTGTCTCATGGTGGTGTTTTTAATTGTCTATGTGTTCTATCTTAATGTGGTGTTTTCAATTGTCTATGTATTGTACCTTAGTGTGGTGTTTTTAATTGTCTATGTATTTTATCTTAGTGTGGTGTTTTTAATTATCTATGTATTTTATCTTAGTGTGGTGTTTTCAATTGTCTGTGTATTCTGTCTTAGTGTGGTGTTTTAATTGTCTATGTGTTCTATCTTAGTGTAGTGTTTTTAATTGTCTATGTATTTTATCTTAGTGTGGTGTTTTCAATTGTCTGTGTATTCTACCTTAGTGTGGTGTGTTTAATTGTCTATGTATTTTATCTTAGTGTGGTGTTTTCAATTGTCTATGTATTTTATCTTAGTGTGGTGTTTTTAATTTTAATGTGGTGTTTTAATTGTCTATGTGTTCTATCTTAGTGTGGTGTTTTCAATCGTCTATGTATTTTATCTTAGTGTGGTGTTTTCAATTGTCTGTGTATTCTACCTTAGTGTGGTATTTTTAAATGTCTATGTGTTCTATCTTAGTGTGGTGTTTTCAATTGTCTATGCATTTTATCTTAGTGTGGTGTTTTCAATTGTCTATGTATTTTATCCTAGTGTGGTGTTTTTAATTGTCTATGTATTATATCTTAGTGTAGTGTTTTCAATTGTCTATATATTCTACCTTAGTGTGGTGTTTTGTATATGTCTGTGTATTCTGTCTTAGTGTGGTGTTTTAATTGTCTATGTGTTCTATCTTAGTGTGGTGTTTTTAATTGTCTATGTGTTCTGTATTAGTGTGGTGTTTTTAATTGTCTATGTATTTTATCTTAGTGTGGTGTTTTCAATTGTCTATGTATTTTATCTTAGTGTGGTGTTTTCAATTGTATATGTATTCTACCTTAGTGTGGTGTTTTTAATTGTCTATGTGTTCTATCTTAGTGTGGTGTTTTTAATTGTCTATGTGTTCTATCTTAGTATGGAGTTGAAGTTGTTTTTGTTTTCTAAGTATTGTGATATTAATTCTGAGTGTATCCTATCTTAAGTCAGATTTTTTAAACTGGTGTTTATCGACTTGTACAAACATAATTGAATCGGAACTAAACCAATACTTGTTTGGTGACGTATGACACGGAAATATTTATTCTAATGTGTGATACTTGCAGAGCAACAAACAGTGGGAAATCGTTAGGCTGGCAAGAAGGTTAATTTATGAAAATGAAAGTGAGCTGAACAGATTCTCTAAATCTGATTTTCAACAACTTCTGTTATTTATCACTAAGGCGACACATATTCTCTTTTATTGGAAGCATCTCTAACCAAACTTAAGGAGTTGCTATGGGGTCTAGATTAGCCCGTCGTTAGCTAATCTATTTTTGTGTTACCATAGAAACAGTGGTTGAAGGAGTGTCCGAAGAGGTTTCAAAACTGTATACTATTGAAGTTACGTGATCATATTGTTACGTATCTGCTTGTTTGATAATTTCCGGTAGAAATTCTTTCCCAGAAACTTCAGCGATACAAGTCCTTTCTTAATTAAAAC